CCAGCAGTGTTGTGAAGTTTCAAAGAAAACCTGGATGCCAGGGACATGGCATCCTGCGTGGTGACAGAGTGCCTTGGAACCCCTGTAGGGCTGATCAGGTTTGGGCACTGGAGCTTCTCTAGGATATACAGGATTTGGGAGACTGTGGCTCCTCATGTCCTTTCCTTCTTCTGGAGGAGGTGTGCTGCTGTGAAGGAGATGTCCTCCAGCACAGTGGTGGTACTACCCTTCCACAGTCTGGAAGGGCAGTCATGGGGAGGAAGGACTTGATTTCTCATGTGTGTGCTCTCAGGTGCTGGGCTGAACCCGTACTTGTCTGATGGGGAGGCAGAGGGGTTTATAATGTTGTTACAAGTCTTTGTGTCTCTGGTCATTAGCTAGATGCAAATCATAAGATTTTTGAATTGGTTAAAGTTTGCATGAAATAAGTGAGTCATGCACTTCCCCCTTTGCAATGGTCTTCCTGTCTACAGATCGGTGCTGGGCTGAGCCAGAGCACTTGCCGCTCTGCTCCAGCAGCTCCAGGTCAACTGGAAACCATTTCCAAAGTCTGCATTCCTTTGATCAGTGATTAGTGAACTCAGGTATTTAAAGTAAATGTTACAGCTTTCTGGGAACTGTCACCTGAGTAGCCACATAAATGGCGTGAAATTATGGTGTGGGAGCCAGTCCTGCTGACACAGGAACGTTTTCCACTTGTGTGGAGATACAGGAGAGGACCTCTCACTGCTCCCGGATGCTGAGGAATTCAGCCTTGCAGCCTTTCTGAGAAGTGATTTTTCTGCCTGCTTTGCAAACTGTAAAAACAAAACACCCAGATGAAGAGGTTTACCCGAGATCGTGTAGGCTGCTGCCGCGCTCGAGATCAGAATCGTCATCTTCTGTGTCCCAGTTTTGCACTCCATCTATTAATACACTGTGCTATTTTTAGCCCTCTAAGTAGCCACGTTGTTGATAATTAGCTTCACTAATAACTGCTCTTCCATACGCTGCAGGACCCACCAGCGGAGCAGCACGCTCTTCTGAGCCAAGCTAAATACAAGGGCGGCTAATAAAAGGCATCTGCGTTTCAAGTTGGTTGTTGCTGAGCAGACACGTGTCCTTGTAGCTCTTGTGATCAGGCAGCTGCCTAAATACAGCTCCTGTACTTTGGTTATGGACGAGGTGTTACTACTCAGGGTTTCCGGGGCGTTCCCTTGCTGACCTTTGAGGAAAGTGAAGAAGCACGGTCTCTCCCTCTCTCTCCACCTTATGCTGAGTCAAGGCTGCTGCTTTCGAAGAGAGATAGCATCTCACAGTACCTAGAGCTGGAAATTTAATTAATGACTGCAAACATCTTAGATGACAGCTATATTTACACCCCAAGAGAATTAGTAGTTACTGTAGGGATTGGGAGGTGCACTTGGAGCAGCTGGATGGAGCTGAGTGACCAAACCAGATGCAAATCCAGCAGTAGATGACTGCAGAGGAGGAGATGCTGAGCAGCAGTTCTCTTGAATGCCACGGGTGACTGCACTTTTGTTCCATTAAAAACACCATCACTTCACCAGTAGCAGCATAATGGTGCTATCTAAGCTAACAGACACATAAGTGGTTACAGAGGAACACATTATTTTCACACATTTTCTTTTAAGAATCCAGTCTCCAAACTTCCAAGCCCAAAATAAGGGATTCAGAAATATTCTCTAGCATGTGGCAAATGAGGAGTTGGATGACTGTGGTGCTGTGTCACCTCACTGCATGCTTGCTATCTGACTTTTTCACTGTGTGTAGAGCAGTTGTGTGTAGGGGCAGCCAAATGAACTCCCCTTTTAGAAAATGCCTGCATCAGAGGGGTTATCAACTCCAGAGCTGTGACCTCTTGTGACAGCACCATTGCAAGATCTGTGTGAATGTCACCATGTTTGCATGCGAGATTTTTTTTCCCCTCTCCCCATTTGATATAAATATATCGAGATACTTATCTTTAGCTGCGCACGCACGCATTGCAAGCCAGGCTGTTTCACTGAACACTGGCGCAAGTCATGTATGCTTAAACCGGCAGTCTTTATTCAGGCAAAGCCCCTGTTGATTTTTCCTTGCTTCTGTAAATTCCAGAGCCTTGATCCAAAGCTGGTGGTGCACATTTGTTTGCCTTTGTATCGTAATACAGATGGGCAATCCTTGTAATACAACTACGTTTATTTACCGATAGAAATGTGCAGAACTGTGATAGGTTGCAACATAGATTATTATTGATTCCTTCTTTCTCTTTTTATTCCTGCAAAACTGGCTAGGCTAAATCCTATGCTAGGCCAAATAGACCTCTCTCATTTCTTTTTTTTTTTCCCACCAAAAACTGAGCTGGCTAAATGGTCGTTTCCTTTGTGGGAATCTCCTAATTTGTGTCTAATATTGTATCACACGTGCTACAAAAGCACTGACAGGGATAGATTACATTTGTGACCAGTTCAATTCCTACTCCATGCTATATTTGCATCGTGGTGGTAAGATGTGACAGGTTTTCCCCCTCTTCCCCTGTATACTGATTTCCCATGAAATGTATATATAGACATTTAAAAGGCAATTTTGATCATACAACTCAAGAAGAAAAAAAAAAAGCAAACCAAGTGCCAAACTCAGAATTAAAGACTCTAGTAAAAAGGTCTCAGAGCAGCAGATGTGTACTTGGAAAAACAGGACAGGTTTCACAGAGGACAAGATATCCTCCCAAGAGCATTGATTTGGTACAGTTCTTGTGACTTCAGGCAAATTTGAATGGGAAGAGGTGGACAGGAACACCTGGGATGAGAAAGCCTGGAGCAGTACAGCTTACTCAGCCCCATAAGGTGTATCAGGGAGGGGAGAAAGTATATCTAATGAAAATGAATTTGAGATTTCAGGAGAGAATAAGTTGGCCTGGTTTTATTTCTGAATGGCTGTCCCCATACACAACCTGTGCTCCATTGATGGAATCAGTTTTATTCCGAGGTTGATGGTTAAGTGCTGAGAGCAACTGCCTGAGGCTGTGCTTATGCGGCCCTTTTCATCCAGTGTGAGTGTGCCGATGCCAAAGGGGCTGGTCCCACTGACTTTACTCTCCCAAACTGATTTCCAGCCCATCCCTGGTGTTGGTACCTGGGAACGTGGGATCCTGTAGTGCTGCAACACTGACTTAAACAAAATTTGACTCAGAGAAAAAACACGGTCAAGCTTGTTCTTGATGGCGTCAATTCCTGCACTTGTCTGACAAGAGCCTCTGTCCCTGGGGCAGGTAGGGAAGCCAGAGGTAACCCTGAGCAGTGCTGGGGGTGCAGTGTGAAACTGTCCCAGCAATGAGTCCTCAATATGGGAAGAGTATGGACCTGTTTTGGCAGGTCCAGAGGAGGCCACAGAGATGGTCAGAGGTCTGGAGCACCTGTGAGAAAATGGTGAGAGAGCTGAGGTTGTTCAGCCTGGGGAAGAGTAGGCTCTGGGAAAACCTTGGAGCAGCTAAAGTTCTAAGGCTACTGGAGATCTGTAGAGGGACTTTTGACAAGGACATGGAGTGATGGGATAAAGGGGAATGGCTTTATACTGAAAGAGGATAGATTTAGTTTGGACATGAGGAAGAAATTTTTTATGATGAGAGTGGTGAGATGCTAGCACAGTTTGCCCAGAGAAGTTGTGGATGCTCCATGCCTGGAAATGTTCAAGGCCAGGTTGGGTGGGACGCTAAGCAACCTGGTCTAGTGGAAACTGTCCCTGCCCATTGCAGTTGATTTGAATGAGATGATCCTTAAAGGATGCTTCCAGCCTAAACCATTCTGTGATTTTATGAAACACTGTCTTAGCCATGACAAGACCTTTTACTTTCCAGTCCCTTCCCGGTAGGAGGAGATGGAGGTGGCCTCACCTCAAGCTTTACTCTTGGGTGTGGAGGTCTTGGGGCTTAGTGGGTCTGTGTTGGTCCCCATGAATGTCCCCTCATGCCTGCTCTGCACTTGCAGGCAATCCAACAGAAGCATTTTGTCCACCCTGGAATCTTCTTGCCTGCAAAGCCTCACAGCCAGGCTACAAGGACAGCGCATGGGCTCCTCTCTGCTGGCAGGAGCCTTCATGGCAGCCTGTGTGAAACACTTTGGTGGCTCTGAGATGTCAGGGCAGGGTGATTCATACATGGGTTTTTCGCTGCCTTTCTGGTGTGTGAAGCTGGGGAGGTGTTTGGAGTTTTCTCCCCTCTCCGCCCCCACACCCTAACTCCCCCTCTGAAATCTCCACAAGACACCTATGTGATGACTCAGCCCCCTTGGGAGACCCTTGGGGTATTTCCCCCACCTCCCCACCAGCAATTTCTCTCGTGAGAAAGTTCTCTAGGTCTTGACCTTGGCTCCTGTGCTCACCAGACTCCTCCAAGACACAGGCAGGCAGCAACTAAAGGCCAAAAAAGGGTGCAAAAGAGCCAGTGTGGTCATTCAGGGTTGCTTTCATCAAATAGATTTGAAAGAAGGTGGTTTTGTCTTTTTCTGTCATTAATTTCACCGCTAAATTTTTGCAATTTAGTTGTTGAGCTTTAGTCAAAACAGGGGTAGTTGAGAAAACATCCCCCATGTTCAGGATCATTTTTCACCCAATTCATGGGTGAATTGGGGTTTCTGTGCTGTTTGGGATGTTACAGAAACCAACCCCAAGCAGCTCTTTCCCTAGGACTGCATCCTCACTTGGACCTACACTCACTGCCAAGCAAGGCAGTGATGAGCAAAAATCCCCCAAAAAAGCCTCTGCCATAGGTGTTTGCTGAAGTGTCCACCAGCAGGAAGGATCACATTATGGTTGGTTTGGTATCTCAGTCATACACCCTGTGGACCCTGATTGTTGCCTTGCTTCTCCTGGCGTGCATGTTTCATCCAATGAGCCCCAAGCCAATTCTCCCTCTGCCGCTTTGTGTGCCGTCTTGCTGACAGAGTACTATCCCATTCATTTTGTTTCTTTGATAACATGTTTTGATAGTTCTTTTTTTTCCCCTCTTGTTTTCTTCACAGATTTATCTGGAAAGTATGACCGGCAGGAGCAGCTTACTCACCATTAGATAAGTATTACAGATGACTCATGCAGTATTGATAGCTGTGCAGCTGAGAGGAATATACTGTTTTATAACAGCTGTCATGTGATGCCAAGAGCCAGGAACCTTAATTTCACCATCCATGCATTTCCATGAACGTGCTTTGGGTCTCTGGCACCTTTTGTCCTTCTGCTTTTGTCCATACAAAGGGTTCACAGAAGAGGTTCTGCTTCCCTCAGTGGGGTACAGGGTATGGGGCAGCTCATGTAGTTTCAAGTTGTCACCTTGAAATGAAAGCTAGTGTTGAAAGGCTGCAGCTTTGTAGCTGTTCTCCAGGACCTGAAATTTTTGTCTTTTTAATAGATGCCATTAGTGGCTTTCCTTGATTCTTTGGGGGTTTTTTTGTTTTGTTTTTTTGTTGTTCCAGAGCCATTACACTCCTACTCCAGCATGACAAACCAGAAGGTGCAGAAACAGGTAAGGCAACTGCTCTTGCAGCATGTTACTTTTGAGTCATTGAGGTGAGATACTGGCTGCAATAAAGTGGAAAAAAAAATTGACTCAATGGCAAGTGAGAGTTGTACCCAATGTGCTCAGCTCCATGAGAACCTATGGAATTACTACATTCAGGGATGAATTTGCAGGCTACCCCAGAGTGTGCACCTGAACCTCCCTCTGCTTCCAAAACCACTGGCCTTAGGGGTGTGTGAGCAATAGGTGATGAGATTTAAGAAGTGATGAGCAACAGGAAAAAACCTACCCTTGGGAGAGATGCAAAAGGAGCTGAGCTGTGAAGGTGGGAAATAAGTACAGGATGGCAGGAGCTGCTGGGAAGGTGTTAACCTACATGGGATGGCAGGAGACTGAAGTGGCTTTAGCTTGGCAGGATTCAAAGGACCATACAACAGTGAGAAAAATTTGGAGTTAAAAGTTACTGTGAGGGTGATGTGATACTGTAGTAGGTTGCACAGAGAAGTTGTGGATGCCCCATCCCTGGAAGTGTTCAAGAACAGGCTGGGCAGAGCTCCGAGCAGTCTGATTTAGTGAGAGATGTCCCTGCCCATAGCAGTGCGGTTGGACTAGATGATACTTAAAGATTCCGTACAACCCAAAGCATTCTGTGGTTCTGTGATTTTGATGCTTTGCTTTACTCATTGGAGTTTCTGTTCTTTAGGATGTTGTGCTTTTGCTTTGGAGTAATGCTATAAACCAAAAAACAATTACATTGAATCTGGCTCCTGAGCAGAAGCCCCTGCATGATGGCTTATAACATAGGCTCAGTTAGGCCCCTGCCTCATAGAATAGAAAATGCCTGTAAGGCCTCCTCCATTTATGCTCTGCATCAGATATTCACGTGCCATGAACTTATCTCAGGACTAGAGTTTTCTGAGTGATAATCTGGTGTTATTCTTGGGAGAAGGGGGTTTGGCTTTTGGGCTTTCATGCAGCATCAACCAGTGCATGCAAGGATCAGGGCATTGGGAATTTTACCAATGTATTCTTCCACTTTGGGCATATCATCCTACAATGACTTGCCTAAAAAAACCCCAAAATTCTGATGAGTGCTCTTAACCATCACTCGGTGGAAATATTTTTGGGGTAGAGAAATGAGAGTGCCATCCCCTGCCCTGCTCACCTTGCACCACTGGGGTCAGGATGGCAGCTCAGAGGCAGGATCTGTGCTTCCCCGTGGGTGGCCTCAGCTATACATATTCAAATCGATCACCCAGGCATGTCACCTCTCTGCCACACAGGGCTGAGAGAGGCACAGGGGCTTTCCAGCCCTGCAGGCCATTATTAGTAAGAGGGTTCCCGCTTGGTGTGTCTTTGGGTTCAAGCTGTGAACTGCCAGTGGGCTCTAAAAACTGCTGCTGAGCCTTGTTAATAAAGCCTTGCACAAAGTTTCCGAGAAGCATAATAACTTCCCTAAATATATATATTTTACATCTAAAGATGCTCGGGTGTGTGTTCATGCTGAAAGTTTGCTGACCCCAGTAGAGGGAATTTGTATTCTTTAGGGAAGCTCAGGCAGGTAGTGGATAAGGAGGGAGTTGCTGGGGTTTCGCTTCTCTCTGATGGTTTGGGATGGTGGATTTTGGGGCATGCTTGTGGGTTTGGTGGGTAGGTGGAACAATTTAGAGCAATGTGAGTGGCCTGTATGGTACCTTCAAGATTGTGCCAGTTGAGCAACTAGATCGGGAATTACGGATCCCAGGGCACCTGAAGTCCAAATAGGTTTTTTAATCACACAGGTCATTTTAAAAGAGATAATTAAGCTCCTGTGTTCCTCAGTAGTGCCTACAAATGTTCCTGTGAATGGCTCATGAAGCACTTGCAGTCTATAACTTCTTCCAGAGGTAAATGTGCTATTAGGTGGAAATTAGCTGCCCATGTGGCATTTTCTGTCTTGGAGTCTCAGGGTGTTTTACTGAGATGTGTTAATACAGCTGTGCTGAATGTACAACTCATCTGCACGCTCTGATAACCATCCTCATGTGAAATGAATGCCGATGGAGCTCTTTGAGACGTCGCTGCTCTCAGTTCCCACTTGCCCTGTTGCCAAAAGCTGCTCCCCACAGAGGCAGGTCTATAGGATGGGCTGCATGTGTAGCTGTGCCTTATTCATTGCTCTGTATGAGCACAAAACCATCTTTGCTTACTGGAAGAGCTGTAACACAGGGTGGGGAAGCCAAAATGGGGCATATCTGTTTTACCTTCCCTTATTAGAGGGGAGGATGATTAAAGGATGGAAATGCACTGAGGTGGGGGCAGTGACATTTCAAGTGCTCAAGTTGGGCTTTGAGAGCAGTTTTGCCCTCTGATAGTCTCTGTTTCTTTACATGTGCCTAGCTGGCAAGGTGGGAGTCATCGCATGGCAACCCCCCATGTAGTGTCAGTGTGCAGCTTTTGTTTTACACTGTAGTTGGGGGAGATTTAGTCAGCATTGTCCACAGGGTGTCAGGTGTGATGGATCTGATGAATGGGTTGAATTGCAGCTTCGTCTTCCCTGGCTACATGGCAGATTCCTCACTGACTGCAAAAGCATCCTGTGCCGACTTGCTCGGATGCAGATGCCAACACTGCAAACACCTCTCTCTGATCAGACGTGGCGTGTCCCCAGCCAGCTCGCTTAGGTTAGGTACAGATACTTTGGATGGCTAAGAGGGTGGGTGAGATGAATCCTACACCTACTGTAGCAGTGCTGGTGCCCCAGGCTGTGGTGGGTTTTTTGGAGGGAGAAGGGAGTGTTACAGTAAGTTTAGTGAGCCCTTCTTTCAGCAAGATTTACTTTCCATCCATTCTGAAGAAAACGGTGTTCAGATCAAGGCTAGCTTGGCAAAGGGAAAATTCCTTTAGGACATTGGCAGTTTGGCAGGGGCTGTGTCACCCATGGACTGTGCACCCACTGCAGCTGTGATCCATGAATGTGATGGGGGGGCAAAAGTAGGACAGGGCACAAGAACCACTTGGGAGCTTTTCAGGAATAATGTTGCTTGAGGCAGTATGGGGAAGGCTGGAAGTAAATACTGTCCTTTTCCCAAAGATTTAATTAGTTTTGTGGCAAAAGTTCCTTTGTGTCTTGGCTCAATGGTTTCATAATTTTAACACTTGCCATTTTGATACTGATACTTAAGTTACACAGAAGAGGTCCCCAGGTGTTTGACCATGTCTGGGCAAATTGTGCTGACAAGTGTCACAAGATGCTTTGATGAAACCATAGTCATCTATCATGGATAGGATAATCGTGGCCATATAAGTAGCAGACATCTGAAATGAATTTTAAACAGCCTCACCTTTTGTGATGGCTTTAGGGGAAAACCTTGCAACTGATGGGAAACCAACAGAGGGATATTTGACATTTCAGTCAAAATGACAGGCTCAAAGTCTACCCTGACATCTCACCCCAACACATGTCATCCCTCAGGCACCAGGCCAGCCATGAGAACCCCATTGTCACTTTTACTCCCTCTCCTTATGGACTCTCCAGGAGGTTGCTGTGCTGCAATCAATGAGTCATAGAAATGTTTGTTACCTGCCATCTATCACCATGAGGGGGCCTTGTGAACTTCGTCACAATAACTGTGCTGTTAGGAGGGAGAGGGTGTTGTGAGGTTTCATCTTGGCTCAGTCGGATCTTGGATCAATTCAGTGTGTTTTCACCAAGGGCAACATGACCACCTCCTCTGCTCATGTTTCCCATGTCCTTCTGGGTTTGCCAAACAAGACATTACAGCATCAGGCTGTGATGGAAACATCCATGTGTGAATGGGATGGAAGTGTCAGTCCCTCAGTCAGTGCCTCCATCTTGGTACTGAGAGTGAACAGGGAAGAGTTTTGTTGGCTGCTGGTATTGAGGGCACTGTGTTCAAGAGGGATGTTTGGTGACTTTCTTTGCCTGGAAGTATGTGAAGGTGTCTGGGTCCTTCTGGGGTGTTAACCTTGGAAGGCAGGCTGAGAGAGTTGGGGTTGCTCAGCCTGGAGAAGAGAAGGCTCCAAGGAAGACAGAGGAAAGGAAAAAGCCTCCTTATCGTGGCCTTTCAATATCTAAAAAATGGATTATAAGGAAGAAGGGAACAGCCTGTAGTGGCAGGATGGGGAGCAACAGTTTTAAACTGAAAGGAAGCAGGTTTAGACTGGACATAAGGAGGAAAGTCTTTTATAATGAGGGTGGTGAGACACTGGAACAGGTTGACCAGAGAAGCTGTGGATGCTCCATCCCTGGAAGTGTTCAAGGTCAGTTTGGACGAGGCTTTGAACAACCTGATCTAGTGGAAAATGCCCATGGCCATGAGAGGTGGGTTGGACTAGGTGGTCTTTGAGAGTCACGTCTGGCCCAAATCATTCTGTGATTGTATGATTTTAATTTTGCTGGGGAGTGGTTTCCTGATGAAGGGAGGAGAGATTTGGAATTGCTTACTCATTAACTCCAGTTGTGTCTGAGTTGAGAAGATGCAAAAGAAGGAAGCAACTAAAGTAGGGCACAAACCCCAAACTCTTGTTTTCCTGGGCTGCTGCCTCTGGAGGTCCACAGGCCATGGGCAGTGTGGGCTGATGGGCATTTGTTGAACGTTCTTGTGCTGGTGCACAGGGATGGTTGTGCCAGTGAGCTCTGGACATGTCTCTTTCCAGGTCTCAGCACCCTCTCCCTTTTAGATAGTCCCTGGTGCAGGTGTAGAGGGCATAGCTCTGCCACCTACACTGGTTATAGTGGCAGCAGACTTCCCTCCTGCAAGGGGAGTTCTCCCTGGCTGCTGCAGAGCCTGAGCAGTTAGCTGCTACAGCCCAGCCCGGCTATTGCAGCAGATCTATAGATGTATCATGAAAAAGGAGGAGGGGAAGCACCTGGAGACACATCTGCATTGGACCATGTCACACAAATGTCCCAAGTGGGCAGCAAGCCCAGTCAGTTGGTGCACACATTGCCAGTGTCCTACCCACATGGCCTTGCCAACCTGGCTACCTGTCCCTGGCAGTGTCAGCCTGGGCAGGAGGCTGGTGCTTGCTTGATTGTGTTTTAAAGCCTTGATCACTGCCTGATTGTTACTCCCTAGCCTCCCCAGCTTCGTGTTTCTCTTTGCATTTGGAGTTGCAGCCTGACAACACTTGAGCTAAACCCTGTGCCCCAACGGCTGCTCATCTGAAAGTGTGGAGCCAGCTCACAGCAGCTGCTAAAATAGCAGAACTGAAGTGGGGAATGAAAAGTGAGATGGTGATTAAGACCCAATTTCCTGTCGTGGCCCCACAGGGCTCCCGCCGGCAATGGAGACATTGGCAGTGGTGGTGTGAAACGTCCCAGCCATCATACAGATAAGCTTTTCTCTTTGCAGAGAGCTCTTTCATGTCAATCCAAGGAGGAAACAATGCTTGGTTAAAGGAAACAACATAGCCTTGGTCTGATGGCACCTGGCATATTCCCTAGTCCTGGTTCCCCATCCCAGCAAGGCTATAGAACACCTGAGGGATATGAAAAAGACAATAAATTTTCTCCAGGGTTCAGAGATGTGTTCTTCTGGGATGATCCAAGTGCGTTTAATTAAATTCCTGCAACCAGGAATGGCAGTTTTGCTGACATATGTGAGACACTGCACAGAAAGTCAACAGGCTGTGCCACTGTCCTGGCTTCCAGGTAGTGGTCCCAGGGCAGGGAGGATGTGACAAAAGTGGAAGATGTGTTGGAAGAGGAAGAATTTGCCACAGTAAAGAGGCATGAGAGGCTGGACAGGGCGGTCCTAGTGTTGTGTTGGTCTGTGGAAGGGGGCAGGTGTGGGCAGCTTGCCAGTGTGTCCTCATGTCACTGAAGAGGTTATCCAAATGACAGCTCCTCATCCTGTGGTCTTTTTCAAGAGCTCTGTGGCCATTCAGTAGCCTGTCTTGGATGGCTTCTTCAGTGTGATCCCATGTTCATGACCATGTCCACCAACCAGTGCTGGTGTATGGTGGAAGTCGGGAGCTGAATGGGAGAGCAGCCAGAGGAGACCCTGGCTGGCATGAGCCATCTCCAGTGGTCTCCCTGCTGCTTTCTGGCTTTGCTCAGTCTGGTGGTGGAAGGTATGTTCCCACCTTGCAGTGTGTCCAGCCCAGCCTAGGGGCTGCAGGTAACACTTTGATGTGCCTTCTCTTTGCCGTCCATGCCAGCTTGACTTGCTTGCCAAGTCCATGTTCAGTGGTGAGTGTCAGCAGCAGAGCCAAAGGATCATCAGGGTGTGTTGGACTCTGTTTGCAAAGCCTGCAAGAAGATGGAAAAGGTCATTTTGTCTGGGGCAGGGGACAAGGAAAGAGGGAACAAACCATGTGGGTTTATTGCATTCCCTCAAGGAAAACAAAGCATCTCTGTAACAACTTGATGATCTTGGAGGTATTTCTCAACCATAATTATTCTATGATTCTGTGACAGGAGAGCAGCAGGGAAATAAAAACTGAGATAAAGAAGAGATAAAAAAAAGAGAGATAAGATAAAAAAGATAAAGATAAAAAACTGAGATAAAAGAAGAGATAAAAACTGACTTGCCCCTTAGCAACCCTTTCTTGCATCTCTCCTCTCATGGGTCTCTCACCACCAACAGCAGGGAATAAAAAGGCAAAGAAAAAAAAAAAGCCACGAGATGGGTTTTGAATGGATGCCAAGTTTGATTTAATTAGATGTATTGAATTCGTTAACTCCCGAACGACGTGGCTGTCACGCGGCAGAAATGACGAGCTGCGAGTGGCGACGGCAGCGCGGCACCGACCTGCCAAAAGGTTCAGCAAAGCAGAAGGATTGACCTACTTCCATCAGCTCCACAGAGAGCACAGGCGAGTGCTCTCCACTCGCTGTCGCTGCGCTCCCTGGAGGGCTGCTCATCCCTCTGTGCAGGGGAGAGCTCCCTGGGCTGGGGGGCTGCTGGGGAGCCCAGCACTCCCCGTCAGCTCCAACACGACCCTGGGGCTGCGTGAGTGTCTGTGTGCCTGTGGGAGGCAGCTCACCCAAAGCAAGGGCTCCTGCTTTGTGTGCTGAATGCTTACTTCTGGCTGACACTGATTTTCTGCTCCTCCCGCCTATTGCACCCTTAGAACGATGCTACAGTATTCTCTGATAATGGGCCTAAATGCTTTTGCAGCTGATAAGGGTGATAAAATCACCCTTGCACACTGCCATGGCAACCTACAGCAATTGCTCCTCGCTCTTGATGTGTGTCTGCTCTTTGGTGTGAGTGCATATGTGTGGTTTTGGTTGAGACTTGCCTGGGAATTACCCAAATTTGGAAGATTTTTGTTTGGTTATGAGCTCTGAAAGGATGTGGAGCCATGGAGCAGCTCCTTGTCTTGCTGGCCACTCTCAGGGAGGAACAGGTGGAGTAGGGCATGCTTCACCTTGCTGTAAGCCCTGGCAGTGCAAATTTCATCTCGAAAGAGTTGTCAGTGATGGGGAGGAGACTTCTGAAAAAGAAATTTGTTTCCAAATGAATTGAATTCCATAGTGGTTATCAAGACAAACTCCTGGCTGTCTGCTCCCAACTCTACCATCATGCATGTGTGCATAGATCCAGGGTCCTTCCTTCAGTGACCACAGGCTCCCTTTAAGATCAGTGTGGTGCCTCCTGACCAGGTAACATCCCAGCTAGAGAAGTCCAACAAGTGAGTGTCTGTTCTGATGTTCTATCCTGGTACCAGCCATGAGCCGAACTCCACCCATTCATTTGACAGTTTTCTCCATCACTCATTAATGTCAGTGCAAAAATATGTTTTATAAAAGTGTGTCTGTTAAGTAGTGAAGAGAGAAGGTGGATTTCCCAAGCTGCCAGCCTGGCAGTGGTGCTCTTGTGATAGGGAATGTTTGCCAAGACCTCTGGAGCTAGAAGACTCCAACAGAGATGTTTGTGAAGTGCACAAGTGTAGAAGTGCTGCATGGAATCATGGTCTGGGTTGTGCTGAAGATCACCGAGTGACACGAAATGGGAGGGAAGGAAGCTTAGACACAGCATCAGTCTCCTCTGATTATTGTCAGTGTTAACCCCAGGTTGGTAACACCAGGCCTACCACACAGATCCTCATGGTAGTCAGCCAGCATGGTGGGAAACTTGCTATTTCAGTGGGGAAATGAGACAAAGCAGCATTGGGGAACTTGTCTGAAGTCATGCAGAGAAGATGACTGGGATCTTGTTTCCCATCACCCAAGCTCTGGCCTTTCCTTCTTCCTGTCTCAAGTGTGGTTTCTTCTTCTGACCCTACAGCATCCCTCAGGCAGAACAGAGAAGGGTTGCTTGAATGGGGAGTTGAAAGAAGAAATGTTATTTTACTAAGCCATGTCAAGAAATTATACGGGAAGAAGAAACAGAGGACAGATGGAAGGAACCCAACTGTCTTCTTCTGCAGGGAAGACATCTCTTTGTAGCATTGAGACTGCCTTCAGGATTCATGATTCAGCTTTCAGGTTAGTTGTTGATCGTTAGGATGTTTTCATTTTGACTTCATCTGTTGAGAAGGCAGTAAGAGCCCTGTGAGGATGCGTATCTCTCCATCAGGTATGACTAATTGTATTGGGACAGCCACCAGCACGATAACACTTCTGTTTTTCTCCAGAACAGCTCCATTACAGACTGCCTGGTAGCTGAGCCCCAGCAAGTGTTTTGCGGGAGTTTTGCTGATTGTGCAGCCCAGATAACCTGTGAGAGAGCAAACATGGAAAGTGTTGAATTCAGCTCAAAAACCAGAGAGCAGGCTTGTTTCGCTGCTTGTCTAAACTGAGCTTTTAACCGCATGTTGTCAGTGCTTTTCAGGAAACTCATCTCGTCTGGGACACGTCATCTGGTAATGAAGTGCTCCCATTTAGGGACAGCCACCAGGAGTTGTGCAAAGGCCAGGGCTCATGGCTAGGCACTGATGTTTTTGCAGTTCAGTGTTGTTTTGCTTTCCCCATCTCCTTGGAGAGCAAAACTCAGTCTGTGCAAAACAGATGCATTTTTAAACAAGATTTCTCCTAGTCTTAAACTCAAAAAACAGTCTCCAAAAAAGCCAGTGCATAGCAGAAGCTGGTGAACACTTTCTCTAGATGTTCGCTTCTGTTGATCCTTCTTTCTGCAGGAACCCAGGAGTTTTGGTGCAGCCTAAGGGCTGGGTCTGAACTTCTTGTCGTTAAGCTAGTTGCCCCCTGCTCCACAGGGTAACAGCTGTGTATATGCATGAAAGCCACACTTGCATTCCCGAAGAAGTGTGTTGGCACAGATGAGCCTTTGACCTCAATATATCAGCTCAGTGGTCAACAGCCTTATGTGGAAAGAGCTTAGGTGTGCAAGTCTTCCACTTGGCGAGTTTCATCTTTGTATGGATTACAGCAGAAAATTCTCTACAGGAGCCTATGCAGGTTTAAAGCTGTGCTTGCCTTGTGAGGAGATCATTGCTTGCTCCTCAAGGAGGTTTGTGGTCATCTGGAAGCTGGACTCAAAGCATGCAGATGGGCAGTCTGTCCAACGTAGGGAGGTAGCAGAGATCTTGATTCTTCCTCTACCCCTTTTCCCTAGGAGGGAGGCTGATTTTCCTGCCTACAGCAAGGCACCCCTTCTGGTTTGGGAGGGCAAGACTAATTCCATGGTGAGGCCATCGTGGGGCCATAGTTTCTCACTGGGTGTTAGGTGAATTAGTCAGTAGTAGAAGGATAATGCACCAGGAGGTGGTCAGTCAGTGTGGACATTCTGAGGGCATTGACTTCTCACAGCAAATTCACCAAAGGACCATTTCAGTCTCCTTCTCTTCTCCTTGCTACGTTGGCTTTATTGTTTGTTGTTGGAGGACAGGTGCTACCTAAGGGGCTCTGGGCAACTGAATAGAGGGGATGTGAACTTGGCAGCTGAGGACACTGAGAAGGAGAGTGTTCTCCCAAAAGTGCAGGAAGGCTCTGGATACTGACCAAGGTCACATGGCATCATGGCCTTGTGACTGTGATCTGCCCAGGGTGAATGCACCGCAGATGAGGCATCCCTTGCAGGGGCTAATCCATGTGTCTGCATCTCTTTAAAATAAGGCTGATGTCCCACGTCCCTTGTCAGCACTGAGCATGGTTCCCCTTGCTCCTGTTGGATGCCCTGTGGTGGGAAGAGGATGCATGCTGGCTGCCAGTTCATGTCTAAAACGATGTCTGTGCAAAGTCCGTCCTTGTCTGGACTCCAAGGGGCTGCAGTGCACAAGGCCTTCACACAGTTTTCTTAACAGGCTCCTTTTCACCTTTTCCAGGGACTTACACTGTGCTTCGTTTCAGAGTGATCCAGTGAATTAACATATTGTTGCTGCTGCCTGGGTAATTGCATGCCCAGGGTCTGCTCTGCTCCAACACAGGCTTCCCAGCTTCCCAGACAGAAAGCATCCTTCTCCTCTGGCAAACAAGGCTGCAAAGTATTGCCCTGAGAACTAGCTCAAAGGATGGAGGAATGGGAGGGTGGAAGAGAAGAGGGAGATTGTTTCTTAAGGCATATCTGGCTTCAAGAGCTCATCTATCAACAAGTAGGATGAGATGGGTTTTTTTAATCTTTATTTCTGTACCAAGGCACTAATTTTGACTGAAGCTGTGGTTTCTCTTGCTGATTTGTGCAGACATTGGTATGGGTGCAGTTACAGAAATTTAGTTTAGCACCAGTCACTACAGGGTCTCAGAACTGCTTGAAATTAGCTGTCCTGGATCACACAGGAATTCAGCAGAAGTTGAAACTGAGCGATCTGATACCCTCTTCTGTACTGAAAATAAACCCCTATGAATAGGTAGGTGTAAAAATGCTTACTGGTCTCACTTCCAAGTATAAAAAACCCCACAAGTGGATAAACTCTTAGAGCCCTCTAAGGCCCTGTGACACTAGACCACATCTCAAACCACATTGGTGAGAATATTGTCAAACCTGGCAGGTTTCTTAATGCGAATGGAAGTTTGCATTTTTGAAATATGATATTTGGTCAGGACTGACTTCTGGTGGACAACTGGCATCCCTTTAGGCAATGGTCTCCAAAAAGGAATATGGTTATGTGCACTAAGAAGACGGCAGCTTCACCTCCTAGCTTGGTTTGGCTTGGCTATCAGGAGGACAGGGAGCATCAAGACTCTGGGACAGAGGGAAGGCAGTTGGTCTACAGCTCTGCCACTGACCTGGGTGACCTGGGGCAAGGAGATGAATCTCTTCCACCTCCTCTTCTCCTGCCTACCAAGTGCATGTGACAGTTGCCTTGTGATTTGTATGGATCTGTCTGAGAAGACAGAGCTCAGTATTGCTGTCTGTAAGATCTCTTTTCATTTCAGTTGTGACATTTCCTGTCTTTTAGCCACAGAAGTTATTTTGACTGGAAGCAAGACATTGCTCCAACACCCTTTATGACACAAGGGATGGAGAGGAGGGGAGAGCCGTGTTGACAGTGTAGTTTGCTCATCCTGCACCAGAGCACTGCGGTTTGTGGGGCAGAGAAGGTTTCTTGAGGATTCTCCATCCTGTGAAATAGAAGCTGCAGCCTGTGCAGTACAGAGAGCCATTTTGTGGTGTGCTATACATGGGCCTTAGGCAATCATGCTTGTTCCATAAATATGTGCGTGCACAGGAGAGGGAGGTGGTCCTGTGTGTGCTGCAGATGGTCATGGGCAAAGATTCCTTGGCCTAACTGAGATGAACAGTTGCATGTTGGTCACCATGGAACTGCATGCAAGAGTGGGGTTTGTCATGTCCTGCGGGGAATATAAGGTGTGGTGGCAGCAGTACCTTCTGGGCCTTCATGGTCTTCAGATATGGTTGTTTCTCTAGGTCTTTCATTTGGAAGATATCGCGGTCCTCAAGCACTGAGTGATTCCCACCCTTTCCTCCAAAGCCTTTGCACTGGTGGCAGTTAGAGGATGGCCTGTAGGATAATGTAGGCTGAAAGGGATCTTGCGAGGTGGGTCAGATGTGAGATCAGACCAGGTTGCTCATGACTTTATTTGGTCAAGTCCTGCTTTATATGAACCTGGCTCTGTGTTCTCAGTAACTTCCCTGCAGGTGCTGGGGCTGCTGCTGGATTCCTCAAAGCCATCTCTTGCCCTGGCTGAACAAGCCCAGCTCCCACACACCCTCTTCTCTTCAGCCAAGTCCACCAGTCCCTGGCCATCCTGGTGTTCCTTCCCTGTACTTTCTCCAGTTTGTCAGTGTGTTCATTGTACGTTTCTTGCACCAAGACTAGGTGTGGTATCTAGATGCAGTCAAGTGAGTACTGAGATCTCCTGCCTGTGCTTCTGCTCCTTCAGCCCAGCATGCTGTTGGCCTTTGCTGCAGTTTCTTACTAAGGTTCCAGTTGACTTGTGGTCCCAACGACTGCCATCCCAGCTCTCAAGGAGCAGCAGAGCTGCTCGGCTGGGACACTGGGCTGGGCCTAGATGATCACTTAAATAGGACCTGCAGCTGTGCTGGGAAAGCCTGAGTGTTTCTCAGCAGCCAGGAGGGAAGAGGAGCGTGGAGTGGCAAAGACCTGCTATTCTCCCTGCTGGTGATGTGGGCTCCCAGAGGGAGAGGGAGAGAGGCCAGGCAGATGAGGCGATGACCTGAGTTCTGCAGAAAAAAGCCAAGAGGTGTATTGTTATAACTACCACCATCTCACTTACTCATCTGTAAAGCAAGATTTTACTCACCATTGTGCTTCCCGTGGGGCTGTGACTGTTGATGGCCACAGATAGCTGAGGTCCTGCAATACCAGTGCAAAGGGTTGTGGAACAAATCTTGCTTTTTGGTCTCCCTGCTGGGGTTGAAGCATGTCTCCTGGTAGCCATGTGCAGAGGAGCAGTATGTATGTGTACCATACTGAAACAAAATGCTGAAATTTCATGCTGTGCTGCCAAGTTAGTGTGTGAGTTTCAAAGCAGCAACCTATATTCTTTAAGATCCAAGAGCCTTGGGAAAAGATCCATTTTTTAATGCTGTACTAATTTAAAAAATGCTGGGTTTTTTTTTAGTGCATCAAGGTAGTAATGAAAGACATAAAGGAGAAAGAAAAAACAGAAAGACCTGTATAATCATTTTAAAGGTTTTCTGCTTTTCCGTTCCTGTTCTTTTCAGGAAATGAAACTGACTATATATGGTATAGGAATGAAACCACATATCACAAGCCACTGTTGAGTTCATGAAGTGACCACACTGAAAAAGTAGTGAAAAATGTGTTCTTACTAGAGCCTTCCCAGCCTGTAGGAATCCTGGCTGTGGCTTGTGATTGTAGTAGGGTGAAGATTTGCATTTTCAAGTTGGCGGTTTTCCTCTTTACTCTTCCTATAAGTTAATTTGGTGCTGTGTTAATTGTGAATCTGGAATGCAAATCAACTCACCTGCATGTTTTTCTTTTATTTTCAGATTTTCTAACTATGGAAGCTCTCCCAAGGAGGTGCATCATGCATGGCTGCCCCTGGGATGGGATGCAGAGCAGGGAGTGAAGAGGAGCTGCAATATGCCACTGCAAGTTGCTTTCATGAGGAGAGAGGCTCTCTGGCATGTCATACAGTGCAGAAAGCCATTTTACTCTTGACAGTAAAAATCCTTATCCTTCTTGTTTTGTTGTTTTTTTTTTTTTTTTTCCAGGACAGATGATATTTCCTGTTAGAGATGCTTTGTATGCAAATCAAGGTAGTACAACAAGAAAAAAAGTCCTGAAAGCAATCACACAGATAAACGGAGCCCACTGGGGAATTCCTACTTATCATTTATCTTTTCTTTTTTTTCAGTTCTGTACAAGATACTTCTTTGCCTGCGCTTTCTTATGGTCTTTAAAGTTTGTCCTGCCAGACCTCTTACTCATGAACTACAGTGCTACTTGCATTTTGCAGGGCTCCATGTCAATCTGAAGAAACAAAATGCAGTAAATGCTGGAGATTGGTGTTAACAGTCCCTGTGTTTTATCTTTGCCTTGCATTGCTGTGTTGCTTTCTGAAGTTCAAGCTAGACATGAACCTCACACTGCAGATTGCCACGTGTGTGTAGTGATGGTCTACCTGGGAAGCCCAGAAACCTTCAGAAAGCTCAGGAAAGGAAGAGGAGAGATAAAAAGCAAAAAGAAGCCAGCAAAAGTTTACCTAGTAACTTACACAGGGAGCAGGATTTGACTCTCCTGAGACACCTCAAAAGATGCTGTGCACAGCACTACACTAATGCTGTGACATGAGTTGGTCACTTCCTCGCTCAGCAAAGCAAACTCACATAGAATCACAGGCTGGTTTGGGTTGGAAGGGACCTTAAAGATCACTTAGTTCAAACCCCCTGCCATGGGCAGGGACACCTTCCACTAGACTGGGTTGCTCAAGGTCCCTTCCAACCTGGCCTTGAACCCAGGGATGTGGCATTTGCTTGTGGCAACTTCTCTGGGCATTTACTCAGCCTGTGCCCAGTAGGTATCCCTATAAGTGCAAGGGCTGATCAAAACCTTGCTCACACTAGGCCCCCACCCTGCTGCCAGCTGCAGTGTTGTACTGTTGCTACAAGTTGTGAGGGTGAAAAAAAGACTTGTAGAAACAGCACGAGAAAAGGACGTGTCAGAGAGCTGCAAAACTTCGTTGCCAGAGAACATTCTCGTGTGTCCAGAGATACCCAGTGCACCTCAGGTCTTGCTGAATCACACTGTGGTTGCTCTGGCCTTTCTGTGGTAACAGTGATAATCATTGTGTGTGGTGTTGGGTTTTATTATTTGGTTTTTTTCTTAAAAGTAAAATTAGCGGTCAAATTGGCATTGGTGAGGCAGCGGGCCTGGTGCAGCTTTTATCTACCCTGAACCTGGAGATGAAGAAGGGGAGGGAAATGGCTTGACCAGTTTGTCAGCTGTGCATGTAACGGTTCCAGAGTTTGAAGCAAAGGGCACAACAGTCAGATACCCAAACCCATCTGGGCTCTGGCTGATAAGTCACATTTCAAAGTGAAAGGCTCTGCTGAGTGCCTGAAGCCTCTGGTGCTAAGTCTTCTTTAAGAGGGGATTTCATAAGGAGTAATATGAATAGAAATGGCTCTTTTGTGGTTTTACACATTCCAGGCATGCCAGGACTGTTCCTGTCAAGGATGGGCAGTCTCTGGGGTTTAGGGTTCTTTTTCTTTTTTATTTCCAAAATATTTGCCACAAACTAGCAGCTGAAATGGTGAAAAATAAATGAGAGTTGCAAAATCATTACAGTAGCAGTAATGGAAACTGTGAGGCTTATTCTTAAACTGGCTGTGGGGTTTCACTCCATCTTCTGTGCTGCTGCACTATGAGGATCACTACTTTTGCCACCCATGACCGCTTCAGGATGGATGATTTGAAGGCAGAGCTTTAACTGTTGGTTACCCAGAACCTCAAGAAACAGTACTTTAGGCTTTTTTCAGAAGCAATGCCTTTTCTGCTGAACCACTGTTAAGCATGAATTCCTTCAGAGTCAGTGCATTTATGTGGCCATACAGCAGCGTTACATTATGACAGCATTGATTTCTGCAGATCTGTGGGTATAGAAATGGGTTTCAGACATTCCTGCTTCAGATGAGGTTTTGTTTCACGCAGGTTGCACTAGTTTGGATTGCACCTATACTCTTCAACACAGGATTTTAATTGATGTAAGAGCTTCCACACACAAGATAGTGGTACCTTAAACCTTAAAGAAGAGCACCTTAAGTCTGCCTTGAAACAGTCTAAAATTTCACATACAGTAAAGCACTAGATGCCTTGTGTAGACCTGGCCTGTTAAAAAGAGTGTCTAGTTTGTAAGCCTACATCTGTTCTTCTCCCCATGGGTGCTGCTCCTGTTGCCATAGTCCTATGTCCTGTGTAGGCATCAAGAGCTCATGGATGGCTGAGAAAGCCATGGCCAGAGGTGTTACTGCTATCACCTCACTAGGTCGGGTGCCACAAAGAGTATGGCTGTAATAGTGTGTAATTAAGTGTGGGCCTCAGGCCCCTGAGACACCCTACACAAACACTCTGTGCCTTTATCATCAGCATGGGCTGACCACAGCCAGCTCAGCACCTCCACGAGCTGGAGCTGCACCTGTAGCTTCTCTGCAGGTGAGACAGCCCTCCAGGGTGGGGCAGAAAATGGAGCGAGGCTTAACCCAGCAGAGTCTGAACCATGGGACCATAGAGAGCCATCCCGAGAATTTGCTTTTCAGCCTGAGTTTGGCCATAGCACATATGCAGGCAGAAAGTGAGAAAGCATCTCTTTGAAAATGTCAATAAAAGAGACACTGTTGGAATGAACCTTCTGCTCTGATTTTATTAAAGGTGAACATGGTTACTTAGTGGTGAACAGGAAAGGGAGCGGATTTAGGACATGGTGCCTGAAGCCCCCTCCCATCCTCCAACACAGATTGATGTCTCAAGAAGGCCGAGAGGTCTCAAGGCTGTCACCTGGGCTGTTGTAGCTCTCTGAGTGGAGGAACTTTAATCACCACGGTTGTCATCAAATTTTGCACTTACAAGGAAGAAGAGCTTGTATTAATTCAGTGCTCAACGTAAATATTTTTCATCTTAGATGAGTGTGGTCCTGTAGCCTTCTGGACTGCTTCCATTTTGGGTTTGTTTCCTTAAAAAAGGAAAGAAAAAAAAACCCAACAACAAAAAACACAAAACCAGTTTTCTTTACCCCATCAGCGCTACCAACCACAGAAATTTGGAAACAAAACGTGAGAGCGGGTATTCAGCAGTGAGCTGTCTTTTCAGTGGGCTGATCTCTCAGGCGTTGGTTTTGAAGTTGATTTTGTTCTGTCCACTCAAGGTCTTTGCTGTGGGAATATTTATTACTGTGAAACTGTAGCAAGCTTTGTAAGTGGCAGTTACTTTTGTAACCAAACATGCTTTCCTTACAAGTCACACAGATAAGTGTGCATTTGGAATTTTTTTATTTGTTTGTTTTGAACCAAAGTAACTTTTCCACTTTGTCATCTGGAGTGGGAAAATGGGTGGACCTTGAGTTGCATTTTAATGTAGATTTCATCCATTTAATCACAGCAGAAGGCTACATAGAGATGCTCTGTTATCCTCTTTCCATGTACTTGCTTGATGTTTTGTGCCTCAGAACCTCTGTTTTGTCTCTTTTTGATGGTTTGAGAGTTTTAATAGGACAAAAATGCTTAAAAACTGTAATGGCCTTGGGAAGGCTACAGCAAGTTATGTGGTGGTGAAGAGATGCAGGCAACCTGTAGAAGAGCCAGTTTTTGACAGCATGGGAAGTGGTTAGCGCCTCACTGGACATCCTCACATCAAAGCTGGACAGTGGGCTGGTTGAGATACTCTGCTTGAACCACAAATTGCTGGGCTTCGGGCAGAAATCACTGCATGAAATTCTGTGGTCACTATTAGGCAGGAGGTCAGACAAAATAATTTTGCTGGTTTCTCTCAGCTTTTAGAATTTATGAATCACATAGTCACGGTGTTTTGGTTTTTTGGTGGTTTTTTTTTTTTTTTTTATTATTTTATTTTTTTATTTTATTTTTTTTATTTTTTATTTTCCATGAAAAGTTTGCCTTGGTAGCATGCAGACAACAAAGCCCATCTGTTCTCTCATCCTTTCATCATGCAGTATTGCTTCCGAATTGTTCCAGAAGGAGGATGAAATTGGGCTTGTTATTTAAATTTCAGTATGGGTGGCCAAAGCAACTCTACGTTGATTATTATGGGTCTTCCATAACCACAGGAATGAATGATGCCTGATGCCAGCACTGATTTAACAAATGTCTGAGGACTGGCTCATGATTGCAGCATAACCCATGGGAATTGTGCTCCATGGGATCCTGCAGCAAGGCAAAGGCAGAGAGAAACTCAGTTTGGGAAATCACAGAGCAGTGCAATAACTGGAGGAAAAAAAAGGAAAGTCATGTGGCAGAAACATAAGGAAAATAAAAATAATGTGAAATAATGTCACTTTCTTGTCCAGTATGCAATTGGAATTAAAATGTAGGCACAAACGGAGCACTGAAACAGAGTAGGTTTAAACTAGAAACTAGGTACTAGGAAGAAATTCTTTGCTGTGAGTGTGGTGAGGTTGCCCAGAGAGGTTGTAGATGCCCCATCCCTGGAAGTGTTCAAAACCAGGTTGGATGGGGCCCTGAGCAGCTTGATCTAGTGAAAGGTGTCCCTGGCCGTGGCATGGGATTTGGAACCAGATGACCTTTAAGGTCCCTTCCAATCCAAAACATTCCATGATTCTATGACTTACTATCTGCAGCCTTTTCCTCCCTCCCAGAAGGGGCTGGTGACTTGGTCCCACCTGGCACTGAGAGGTTTTAGCACTTCAGTGGCATCCCAGGCTTGACCTGCCTTTGCAGCAGCTTGGACCCACTTTCCACTGTAAGAAAGAAACTCTTCCTGTCCTACAGCAAGACTTCTATCCACACCTCAGCAGGACTTCAGTCAGGTTTTCAGGATTTCAGACTGGGCTAGATCAATAGGCCAGTGTCCCATTTGGCAGAGCCTTGGTATGTGTGACAAGACAGTTTGATGCACTTTGTCTAAAAAGTCTTTGTGAGCCCATCTGGGGAGCGCAGTGTCAGGGAGGGAGTTCGTGGGAACCTCACGTGTAATGGTGTGAAAGCCACTCCTTAACTGAGCCGTGGGACAGAATGAACTTCTGTAACTCTGGAGAGCAAGTAGAAGCAGGGAGGTGACTTTGTCCCTTTAAAGGGGGACACACTGCCTGCTGTCTTCACTTGATGAAGGAAGGGGAAATGCCAGGAAGAATTTAAAGGAAAGCCACAGATGACTTGGGATTGCCAAACCAGAACTCCAGGCTTAAGGAGCGCAGTGTATTTGGTTAATTGGGATGAAGGTAGGCACGGGAGCGACTTGATTGCCACATCTACTGGAGGAAAGTTTTGATCAGTAGGTTTGGGGTAAGGAGTAATGCTTAGAAGTTTGATGTCTTTTCCCAGATTTG